TGACGTACAGGGCAATGAACAGGCAGACACTGCTGCGCGGTCAGCAGTACATGACCTACCAGTTTCTTATAGAGGTATTCCATTTACGGACTATTTTGCTGCAATATCTTCCCACCTTCACACCCGTTGGCAACAACGTTGGTCTACTATGCTGGGCAACAAACTTCAGTCTAAAAAACCGAGTATGGTTTAGGGTTTCTTATCACCGTGCAGGTTGGGAGACTATCTCTCCACTTGCTTTGGGCCTACCCCTTACCAGGGATATCTCGGGAAAGGGCTTTTGCCCTTTTTGGAAAATTGCAAGCCCCATTATCAGTCAGCCACATTCTTTGGACGCCCACTTTACAACGAGCAGCGAAAAATTTTACCTTGTTGTCGTCTTCGCCCCGTGCTCTCCTTTACCTTCCCTTTTCCTGATAGACCCACCTTTTCACCGGCACTCTCATGACTTTTTTACAAAACAAATTACAAATTTTTTCCTTCAGCCCTTTTATTTAATCTTTGCTACCCCCTACCCCCTACTATCCCCTGCCCCGTGTTTTTTGTAACTGCTGACATTTCCCCCCCCCCTTTGCCATCCATTCCCTTGTTCCTTCCCTACCTGCAGCGTGTTAGCCCTTTGGCTTGGTTCTTTTTGATTATAAAAAATAATACATTTTATTGTAAAAATTTCTGGTATTTGTATGCATTTATTTAAAGGGGAAAAAAATGGCATTCTGATTTCTGGCAATACTCACTTTCTGACGATAGCCTGGAACCTAAACTGCTGTATGAGTGGGGCCCTACAGTAGCCTGGAACCTAACCTGCTGTATGAGTGGGGCCCTACAGAAACCTGGAACCTAACCTGCTGCATGAGTGGGGCCCTACAGTAGCCTGGAACCTAACCTGCTGTATGAGTGGGGCCCTACAGTAGCCTGGAACCTAACCTGCTGTATGAGTGGGGCCCTACAGTAGCCTGAAACCTAACCTGCTGTATGAGTGATGCTCTACAGTAGCCTGGAACCTAACCTGCAGTATGAGTGGGGCCCTACAGTAGCCTGGAACCTAACCTGCTGTATGATTGGTGCCCTACAGTAGCCTGGAACCTAACCTGCTGCATGAGTGGGGTCCTACAGTAGCCTGGAAACTAACCTGCTGTATGAGTGGTGCCCTACAGTAGCCTGGAACCTAACCTGCTGTATGAGTTGGGCCCTACAGTAGCCTAGAACCTAACCTGCTGTATGAGTGGTGTCCTACAGTAGCCTGGAACCTAACCTGCTGTATGAGTGGGGCCCTACAGTAGCCTGGAACCTAACCTGCTGTATGGGTGGGGCCCTACAGTAGCCTGTAACCTAACCTGCTGTATGAGTGGGGCCCTACATTAGCCTTAAACCTAACCTGCTGTATGAGTGGTGTCCTACAGTAGCCTTAAACCTAACCTGCTGCATGAGTGGTGCCCTACAGTAGCCTTAAACCTAACCTGCTGTATGAGTGGTGTCCTACAGTAGCCTTAAACCTAACCTGCTGTATGAGTGGGGTCCTACAGTAGCCTGGAACCTAACCTGCTGTATGAGTGGGGCCCTACAGTAGCCTGGAACCTAACCTGCTGTATGAGTGGGGCCCTACAGTAGCCTGGAACCTAACCTGCTGTATGAGTGGGGTCCTACAGTAGCCTGGAACCTAACCTGCTGCATGAGTGGGGTCCTACAGTAGCCTGGAACCTAACCTGCTGTATGAGTGGTGCCCTACAGTAGCCTGGAACCTAACCTGCTGTATGAGTGGGGCCCTACAGTAGCCTGGAACCTAACCTGCTGCATGAGTGGGGTCTACAGTAGCCTGGAACCTAACCTGCTGTATGAGTGGTGCCCTACAGTAGCCTGGAACCTAACCTGCTGTATGAGTGGGGCCTACAGTAGCCTGGAACCTAACCTGCTGTATGAGTGGGGCCTACAGTAGCCTGGAACCTAACCTGCTGTATGAGTGGGGCCCTACAGTAGCCTGGAACCTAACCTGCTGCATGAGTGGGGCCCTACAGTAGCCTGGAACCTAACCTGCTGTATGAGTGGTGCCCTACAGTAGCCTGGAACCTAACCTGCTGTATGAGTGGGGCCCTACAGTAGCCTGGAACCTAACCTGCTGTATGAGTGGGGTCCTACAGTAGCCTGGAACCTAACCTGCTGCATGAGTGGGGTCCTACAGTAGCCTGGAACCTAACCTGCTGTATGAGTGGGGCCCTACAGTAGCCTGGAACCTAACCTGCTGTATGAGTGGGGCCCTACAGTAGCCTGGAACCTAACCTGCTGTATGAGTGGGGCCCTACAGTAGCCTGGAACCTAACCTGCTGTATGAGTGGTGCCCTACAGTAGCCTGGAACCTAACCTGCTGTATGAGTGGGGTCCTACAGTAGCCTGGAACCTAACCTGCTGTATGAGTGAGGCCCTACAGTAGCCTGGAACCTAACCTGCTGTATGAGTGGTGCCTACAGTAGCCTGGAACCTAACCTGCTGTATGAGTGGTGCCCTACAGTAGCCTGGAACCTAACCTGCTGCATGAGTGGTGCCCTACAGTAGCCTGGAACCTAACCTGCTGTATGAGTGGGGCCCTACAGTAGCCTGGAACATAACCTGCTTCATGAGTGGTGTCCTACAGTAGCCTGGAACCTAACCTGCTGTATGAGTGGGGCCCTACAGTAGCCTGGAACCTAACCTGCTGTATGAGTGGGCCCTACAGTAGCCTGGAACCTAACCTGCTGTATGAGTGGGGCCCTACAGTAGCCTGGAACCTAACCTGCTGTATGAGTGGGGCCCTACAGTAGCCTGGAACCTAACCTGCTGTATGAGTGGGGCCCTACAGTAGCCTGGAACCTAACCTGCTGTATGAAGTGGGGCCCTACAGTAGCCTGGAACCTAACCTGCTGTATGAGTGGGGCCCTACAGTAGCCTGGAACCTAACCTGCTGTATGAGTGGGGTCCTACAGTAGCCTGGAACCTAACCTGCTGTATGAGTGGGGTCCTACAGTAGCCTGGAACCTAACCTGCTGTATGAGTGGTGTCACTACAGTAGCCTGGAACCTAACCTGCTGTATGAGTGGGGCCCTACAGTAGCCTGGAACCTAACCTGCTGTATGAGTGGGTCCTACAGTAGCCTGGAACCTAACCTGCTGTATGAGTGGGGCCCTACAGTAGCCTGGAACCTAACCTGCTGTATGAGTGTGGCCCTACAGTAGCCTGGAACCTAACCTGCTGTATGAGTGGTGTCCTACAGTAGCCTGGAACCTAACCTGCTGTATGAGTGGGGTCCTACAGTAGCCTGGAACCTAACCTGCTGTATGAGTGGTGTCCTACATTAGCCTGGAACCTAACCTGCTGTATGAGTGGTGTCCTACAGTAGCCTGGAACCTAACCTGCTGTATGAGTGGGGCCCTACAGTAGCCTGGAACCTAACCTGCTGTATGAGTGGTGCCCTACAGTAGCCTGGAACCTAACCTGCTGTATGAGTTGGGCCCTACAGTAGCCTGGAACCTAACCTGCTGTATGAGTGGGGTCCTACAGTAGCCTGGAACCTAACCTGCTGTATGAGTAGTGTCCTACAGTAGCCTGGAACCTAACCTGCTGTATGAGTGGGGCCCTACAGTAGCCTGGAACCTAACCTGCTGTATAAGTAGTGTCCTACAGTAGCCTGGAACCTAACCTGCTGCATGAGTGGGGCCCTACAGTAGCCTGAAACCTAACCTGCTGTATGAGTGGGGTTCTACAGTAGCCTGGAACCTAACCTGCTGTATGAGTGGGGTCCTACAGTAGCCTGGAACCTAACCTGCTGTATAGTGGGGTCCTACAGTAGCCTGGAACCTAACCTGCTGTATGAGTGGGGCCCTACAGTAGCCTGGAACCTAACCTGCTGTATAAGTAGTGTCCTACAGTAGCCTGGAACCTAACCTGCTGCATGAGTGGGGCCCTACAGTAGCCTGGAACCTAACCTGCTGTATGAGTGGGGTCCTACAGTAGCCTGGAACCTAACCTGCTGTATGAGTGGGGTCCTACAGTAGCCTGGAACCTAACCTGCTGTATGAGTGGGGTCCTACAGTAGCCTGGAACCTAACCTGCTGTATGAGTGGGGCCCTACAGTAGCCTGGAACCTAACCTGCTGTATAAGTAGTGTCCTACAGTAGCCTGGAACCTAACCTGCTGCAAGAGTGGGGCCCTACAGTAGCCTGGAACCTAACCTGCTGTATGAGTGGGGTCCTACAGTAGCCTGGAACCTAACCTGCTGTATGAGTGGGGTCCTACAGTAGCCTGGAACCTAACCTGCTGTATGAGTGGGGTCCTACAGTAGCCTGGAACCTAACCTGCTGTATGAGTAGTCCTACAGTAGCCTGGAACCTAACCTGCTGTATGAGTGGGGTCCTACAGTAGCCTGGAACCTAACCTGCTGTATGAGTAGTGTCCTACAGTAGCCTGGAACCTAACCTGCTGTATGAGTAGTGTCCTACAGTAGCCTGGAACCTAACCTGCTGTATGAGTAGTGTCCTACAGTAGCCTGGAACCTAACTTGCTGTATAAGTAGTGTCCTACTGTTCAATAGTTGGGTAGTACATGAACTTATTTATACATGAGTTGTCATACATTAACTTAGCTTTGGGCTTTGTTAGTGATTTTATTATTGAAGTAACCTACATAGAATTAGTTTGGAATAGGTAATCACTAAACTGGACTTGAGAGCTCAGAACTTTTTGGTTTGATTTATTACTATGCTGGAGAAGAAGTCATTCAGTTTATTTACTGTTTCAGAGAGTTGGAGAGGAGGTTCAGTTGGTTTAGTTAATGCAATGTTTATTTTTGTGACTATGACAACTGTAAGGAATATTAGAATAACCCATCAGTCAAAATATTATGAAAAGTTGTGTATAAATAAATTAGGAAGCAGGTTTATTACCATATTATAGGAATAAGAAAGTAGGTAACTTTAAAAATGAAAATTTTGATGATCATGTTATTATGATTAATATTGTATAACATGAAAAAATAAACAAAGACTTTCAACTTACAGTTATTGTCTCTGGAGGGATTTCACCAGTAATTATCTTAACTTTCTCCATGATGGTGGTGGCTGAGTCTCCCAGGAGAACAGGGGCAGCTGTGGCACCTGTCTCTGTGGTGATGGTGTCCAGGGCCTTCTTAATGGTCTCCTGTACCTGTCATTACCAACACAAACATTAATGCTGGATGTCAGCAACAAACTTGTCTTCACTCTGACACTTTCACAACTGTTGATTATTTAAGACTTATGTCTTAAAATATAACTCACACCCTCCCTTCAACTGCTAATATATCCCCTGTACCTCCCTACAGCCCTTCCTAATATATCCCCTGTATCTCTCTTCAACCCTTCCTAATATATCCCCCTGTACCTCCCTTCAACCCTTCTTAATATATCCCCTGTACCTCCCTTCAACCCTTCCTAATATATCCCCTGTACCTCCCTTCAACCCTTCCTAATATATCCCCTGTACCTCCCTGCAACCCTTCCTAATATATCCACTGTACCTCCCTTCAATCCTTCCTAATATATCCCCTGTACCTCCCTTCAACCCTTCCTAATATATCCCCTGTACCTCCCTGCAACCCTTCCTAATATATCCCTTACCCCCTTCAACCTTCCCAATATATCACTGTACCTCCCTTCAACCTTCCTAATATATCCCTGTACCTCCCTTCAATCCCTTCCTAATATCCCCTGTACCTCCCTTCAACCCTTCCTAATATATCCCCTATACCTCCCTTCAACCCTTCCTAATATATCCCCTGTACCTCCCTTCAACCCTTCCTAATATCCCTGTACCTCCCTTCAACCCTTCCTAATATATCCACTGTACCTCCCATCATCCCTTCCTGATATATCCCCTGTACCTCCCTTCAACCCTTCCTAATATATCTCCTGTACCTCCCTTCAACCCTTCCTAATATATCCCCTGTACCTCCCTTCAATCTTCCTAATATATCCCCTGTACCTCCCTTCAACCCTTCCTAATAAATCCCCTGTACCTCCCTTCAATCCTTCCTAATATATCCCCTGTACCTCCCTACAGCCCTTCCTAATATATCCCCTGTACCTCCCTTCAACCCTTCCTAATATATCCCCTATACCTCCCTTCACCCTTCCTAATATATCCCCTGTACCTCCCTTCAACCTTCCTAATATATCCCCTATACCTCCCTTCAACCCTTCGTAATATATCCCCTGTACCTCCCTTCAACCCTTCCTAATATATCCCCTGTACCTCCCTTCATCCCTCCCTGATATATCCCCTGTACCTCCCTTCAACCCTTCCTAATATATCTTCTGTACCTCCCTTCAACCCTTCCTAATATATCCCCTGTACCTCCCTTCAACCTTCTTAATATATCCCCTGTACCTCCCTTCAACCTTCCTAATATATCCCCTGTACCTCCTTTCAACCCTTCCTAATATATCCACTGTACCTCCTTTCAACCCTTCCTAATATATCCCTTGTACCTTCCTTCAACCATCCTAGGATATCACCTGTATCTTCCTTCAACCATCCTAGGATATCACATGTACCTTCCTTCAACCATCCTAGGGTATCACCTGTATCTTCCTTCAACCATCCTAGGATATCACCTGTACCTTCCTTCAACCATCCTAGGATATCACCTGTACCTTTTCTTCAACCCTTCAACCTAGGATATCACATGTACCTTCCTTCAACCATACTAGGATATCACCTGTACCTTCCTTCAACCCAAACTAGGGTATCACCTGTACCTTCCTTCAACCATCCTAGGATATCACCTGTACCTTCCTTCAACCATACTAGCATATCACCTGTACCTTCCTTCAACCATACTAGGATATCACCTGTACCTTCCTTCAACCATCCTAGGATATCACCTGTACCTTCCTTCAACCATCCTAGGATATCACCTGTACCTTCCTTCAACCATCCTAGGATATCACCTGTACCTTCCTTCAACCATCCTAGGATATCACCTGTACCTTCCTTCAACCCTTCCCAGGATATCACCTGTACCTTCCTTCAACCATCCTAGGATATCACCTGTACCTTCCTTCAACCATCCTAGGATATCACCTGTACCTTCCTTCAACCATCCTAGGATATCACCTGTACCTTCCTTCAACCATCCTAGGATATCACCTGTACCTTCCTTCAACCATCCTAGGATATCACCTGTACCTTCAACCATCCTAGGATATCACCTGTACCTTCCTTCAACCATCCTAGGATATCACCTGTACCTTCCTTCAACCATCCTAGGATATCACCTGTACCTTCCTTCAACCATCCTAGGATATCACCTGTACCTTCCTTCAACCATCCTAGGATATCACCTGTACCTTCCTTCAACCATCCTAGGATATCACCTGTACCTTCCTTCAACCATACTAGAATATCACCTGTACCTTCCTTCAACCATCCCAGGATATCACCTGTAACCTTCCTTCAACCATCCTAGGATATCACCTGTACCTTCCTTCAACCATCCTAGGATATCACCTGTACCTTCCTTCAACCATCCTAGGATATCACCTGTACCTTCCTTCAACCATCCTAGGATATCACCTGTACCTTCCTTCAACCATCCTAGGATATCACCATGTACCTTCCTTCAACCATCCTAGGATATCACCTGTACCTTCCTTCAACCATCCTAGGATATCACCTGTACCTTCCTTCAACCATCCTAGGATATCACCTGTACCTTCCTTCAACCATCCTAGGATATCACCTGTACCTTCCTTCAACCATCCTAGGATATCACCTGTACCTTCGTTCAACCATCCTAGGATATCACCTGTACCTTCCTTCAACCATCCTAGGATATCACCTGTACCTTCCTTCAACCATCCTAGGATATCACCTGTACCTTCCTTCAACCATCCTAGGATATCACCTGTACCTTCCTTCAACCATCCTAGGATATCACCTGTACCTTCCTTCATCCATCCTAGGATATCACCTGTACCTTCCTTCAACCATCCTAGGATATCACCTGTACCTTCCTTCAACCATCCTAGGATATCACCTGTACCTTCCTTCAACCATCCTAGGATATCACCTGTACCTTCCTTCAACCATCCTAGATATCACCTGTACCTTCCTTCAACCATCCTAGGATATCACCTGCTTCCTCATTTTACCTTCCTTCAACCATCCTAGGATATCACCTGTACCTTCCTTCAACCATCCTAGGATATCACCTGTACCTTCCTTCAACCATCCTAGGATATCACCTGTACCTTCCTTCAACCATCCTAGGATATCACCTGTACCTTCCTTCAACCATCCTAGGATATCACCTGTACCTTCCTTCAACCATCCTAGGATATCACCTGTACCTTCCTTCAACCATCCTAGGATATCACCTGTACTCCTTCAACCACCTATACACCTGTACCCTTCCTTCACTCCAGATATTTTCCTGATTAATATACCTGTAACCTTCTAACATCAATTTGTTATTCTTCACACCAGAATCCCCGTTCTTTTACATTGTACTATATTCTCATTTTTTCTGAAAAAATGAACCTCAACAATTTTTTTTTCTTACAGAATTTTTTATTAAAAATCTATATTAATTATTACTAGAAATTTTGTTTTTCTAAATAATTAGAACAAACCTGTACTGATAATAGACCATGTGAACTCTTGGGTATCTTTATTGAGGAAACGTTTCGCCACACAGTGGCTTCATCAGTCCATACGTAGGATAAACTTGAAGAACAGGAGGAGAATGAGGTAATCAGTCCCTCAACCTTGAGTCGATGTGTTCAGTCCATCAATCTTGAATAGAATACGGCATATGAGCGGAGTAGCAGCTTATAAACCGTATGGCAGGAGAGGTGCAGCAGTCATAGGTGGTGGTGTCACATTTGTTCAATGTGGAAGTAGGTCGTGCCCAGGAATTAGGCGAGCGAAGAATACATTTAGCATTGAATTGAAGTATGATGGTAGGGATAACTCAGTAACAGTCCCAGATTTTCGCTTAGCAGATTACGATGGGCTTAGAGAACACTTATCATCTGTTGACTGGGGTAACGAAGAGAGCTATCAATATGACAGTTTTCTGAACACAATACATGCAGCTCAAAGAACGTTTATCCCATATAAAGAAATTAGATCAAATAGAAATGACCCAAAATGGATGAATAATAGGCTCAAATATCTATTAGGGCATAAGAAAGGAATTTATAGGAGTATCAAAAGAGGTGAGGGTCATCTTATGAATCAGTATATTGACATTAAGAGGGACATAAAAAAGGGGATAAGAAAACCTAAAAGAGACTATGAAATTAAAGTTGCTAGGGATTCTAAAACTAACCCAAAAAGTTTTTTCCAGGTCTATAGAACAAAAGTTAGAGATAAGATAGGTCCACTTAAAATTAACTATGGGCGTCTTACTGACAAAGAGAATGAAATGTGCTCGATTTTAAATAATTATTTTCTCTCAGTTTTTACACAGGAAGACACTAACAATATTCCAGTAATTAATTTTTATAGTTTGCTAGAAGAAGATAAATTATGTAAAGTAAAAGGACACAAGTGCAACTAATGTGACATTTATTGTGGCAACGTTTCACTCTCCAGGAGCTTTATCAAGCTTTATCGAGCACATTTCATTCTCTTTGTCAGTAAGATGCCCATAGTTATTTTTAAGTGGACCTATCTTATCTCTAACTTTTGTTCTATAGACCTGGAAAAAAACTTTTTGGGTTAGTTTTAGAATCCCCAGCAACTTTAATTTCATAGTCCCTTTTAGCTTTTCTTATCCCCTTTTTAATGTCCCTCTTAACTGATTCATAAGATGACCCTCACCTCTTTTGATACTCCTATAAATTCCTTTCTTATGCCCTAGTAGATATTTGAGCCTATTATTCATCCATTTTGGGTCATTTCTATTTGATCTAATTTCTTTATATGGGATAAACGTTCTTTGAGCTGCATGTATAATGTTCAGAAAACTGTCATATTGATAGCTCTCTTCGTTACCCGTCAACAGATGATAAGTGTTCTCTAAGCCCATCGTAATCTGCTAAGCAAAAATCTGGGACTGTTACTGAGTTATCCCTACCATCATACTTCCATTCAATGCTAAATGTATTCTTCGCTCGCCTAATTCTTGGGCACGACCTACTTCCACATTGAACAAATGTGACACCACCACCTATGACTGCTGCACCTCTCCTGCCATACGGTTTATAAGCTGCTACTCCGCTCATATGCCGTATTCTATTCAAGATTGATGGACTGAACACATCGACTCAAGGTTGAGGGACTGATTACCTCATTCTCCTCCTGTTCTTCAAGATTCTCCTTTGTATGGACTGATGAAGCCACTGTGTGGCAAAACGTTTCCTCAAAAAAGATACCCAAGAGTTGCACATGTGTCTAATTTATCAACATGTCGGTTCTCTGAACCATTCATCTACAAAGACCTGTACTTGCTGACCGTAAATCACTTACAATGGCATAAACCAATTACTTGGTGACCTAAACAAATGGACGTTTGGGGACCTAAATCCTGTACTTCAATAATATTTTTGTTTTGTATTGACCCTAATAATGTTTTGTAATCACTTACTTGTGCCATATAGTCTCCCTTCTTGTGGATAACACTATAATCTGCTTTCCAAAACAATTTGACCATAAATACATGTACCCAAGTGATTTACTGTAATTTTTAATATATTTCCTAATACTGGGACGTTGGTAGACAGGCTACCATCAAATACTACTTGCCCGCCATAAATCAGTGTATAGCTGAACCAGTAAATTGTTTACTGTGGTAGATTGCTGGTGTCTCACTGTACTGTACCCTAAACATGCAAATTCAAGTAAAATCACTGTACTTCTGACACTTAGGTCACATTACTTGCATGTACCATAAATCACTTACCTTCTGACATTTTTCTTCTCCTATTCACTGTATTTGTGCTAAAATACGGAGCATGACCAAAAGCCCTTCTTCCTGTAATCACTACTTTGACATAAATTTTCAAAAAGATATAATATTTTTTCTGAGTGGGTCCCCACCTTCATGGGAAAGGAGTGATTAACCCTAAAGATCAATATATTTTTGTTTTGTATTGACATAGTAATGGTTGTAAGCAGCTCCTTGTTCCCAGTATTTTAGTCTCCTTCTATGTGGAAACATTTATAATCTGCTTGCCCAAAGACAATTTAAAACAAATACATGTACGCAAAGTGTTTACTGAATATATTAATATATTTCCTAGGTGGTAGGTTGGTAGACAGGAACCATCCAGGGAGATACTACCGTCCTGCCAAGTGAGTGTAAAACAGAAGCCTGTAATTGTTTTACATGATGGTAGGATTGCTGGTGTCTTTTTACTGTATCATAAACATGCAAGATTTCAGGTACATCTTACTACTACTTCTTACACTTAGGTCACACTACACATGCATGTACAAGCATACAAATACACACTCCTCTGGGTTTTCTTCTCTTTTCTTACTAGTATTTGTTCTAAAATACCGGAAGCATGGAGCTAATAAGCCCTTCTCCTGTATACATTACTAAATTTATGAAGAAAGTTTTGTTTTTCTTTTTGGGTCACCCTCCTTCAGTGGGATACGGCCAGTGCATTTAACCCCTAAATGGTCAAACATATATATACGTTCTCTCGCCCAGTGCCCCGAATATTTTGAAAAATAATTTTTTTTACTGAAGTAGAGAGAAAATTTTTCTAAGTGTCATAGGATTGAAATAAAACAAATTGGGTCAGTACTTACTGAAATATGAGGCAGCATCAACTCCTGCCACTTGCACAAGTGTTGCCGATATACCTTTTTTTTTAATAATTTTTATATTTTATATAATTTTTATGCTCTGATAATTACAATTTATAGTAGTTCTTGCCATTTCATAACCAATCTTTGTTCTGACACTAATATTAGGTACTGAAATTTTACTCACATTGTCACAAACACACTGACAGGTGGACATTTACACCTGCCTTGGTCATTTACTGTTGTCTAGGAATATATACAAAGTATTTATTGGCCCAAGCAATGTTTTGGATACACTGGAGTATAGAAGAAGAAGAAGAAAGAAGAAAGGAGGAGGAGGAAGAAGGAAGAAGAAGGAAGAAGAGGGAAGAAGAAGTTCCCTTGAAGCATGATGTCGGTGACAAGCATCTGGAGGGCAGTGATAAGATAAGGGAAGACATTTGATGGGCACCTGTGAGGGTGCAGAGATAAGATGAGATAAGGGATGACATTGGATGAGCGTCGGCATCTCTGTCTCTGCTTATGTCTCAAAGTCTTGTCTCTCTGTATGCTTGTCTCTCTTTATGTCTCTCTGTCTCAGAGAGAGCCATTGTGAACCAACAGGTATTCTTATGCATTATATCTACAAGCACAGTATAGAACGCTGGATTTTTTTTAGGTTATCCTAGGTATAATTGTATTTATGTGTACCTGTGAGAGAGAGATAAGAAGAGATAGGCCGAGACAGATAGACAGAAACAGATAGACAGACCCTAAACTTGGGGTCAACATCACTTTCCTCTTAAAAGGGGAGTGTTAACATGACATTACATCAGTGAATCCTTGGTGTTTGCCGCACTGTTTGCTCTAGCTGGCGCTTATTTTAACTGATGCTCACACAAGGTACTAAGTGGTCCCAGATTTTTTTAATATGGTGCACACTGAGTGTTAAGACCCATTCTATGCTGACCAGGCATCTCAGGCCAATCTTGCCAAATTACGAGGCAGGAAAAATAAAACGTATATAATATACATTTGAGGAGCTAGCAGTAAGAACGTATATATACGTTTGGAGATTTACAGTTAAAGAAGAAAGATTAATATATTTAATAACAGATAACTGAATATTGCTCTTGAAGTTGTATATATTTACAGAACAGAATCAATATATAAAAATGAATTAAGAAATTGTTTAGAAAATTCAATAATATTTGTGGCATCATACCTTTACTGAGGTGTAGACAGTGTTGACATCTGGGAAGAGTTCCTGACACTTCTGGATCCAATCTTCAACCTCCACATTGTACTGATCAGCTTCATCAATGGTTGTGACGACCTCCTGTGCAGTGTTGACTGTGTTGAGGTTCTCCAGCATGGTCTGCAGCTGCTTCTTTCCTGCCTCTCCTTCTGTTGTCATAGTCAGCACACTGGTATCCTCCTGTTCCAGGAGCTCTATTGCTGCCTTGTTCTGCTCCAGCAGATCATAGAGTCTGTCCTGCAGTTGGTGATGCTGGATCTTCCAGTCCCTCACCTGCCCCTGGTACTTGCCCAGCTGGGACAGTGCTTCTTCACACTCACTTATAAGGTTACTGATACTGCTCTTGTGTTCCTGTACCAAAGATCGTAACTTTTTGCTTATGCCTCTTGTGCGATCTTGACCACATTTTGTTGACATGTTCCCACTGATGTAACCTGGATACTTCTGATTTTCTTTATCACAGCCTCCATAGCATAGATGACGGGAAACGGGATACATCTGTGGCCTGTGCTCAGCAGGGCACGGGGGCAGGTAGCTAGAGTTCTTAATGTATCTTCAATAAAATGTGAGCAAAGTGTGACCACAGGGCAGAGTGCGGGGTCGTCGTAGCTTTTCATCATAATTGTAAAGCACATTTTAACACTCCTCTGGTTTGTCATATCCTGTAGAAAATAAAAATTAAGTTAGATTTTACCTAATGGGATTGAATTTAAACAGGTTATTTTTTATGCCAGTAAAATTAAATTTCATTAATTACCACAAGAAGTGTCTATTAAATTTTTATAGACAATCTTGAAATTTAAAAGAATGCAAAACTTTTTCATATTCTACTATTACACATCTAATGGAGGATAATTGTCAAACTTCTTCATATTACTACTATAAAAACTAATACTGGGGGTAAATTTTGGTCAAACTTCTTCATAAAAACACAAATTACAACATACATACAGGTATATATTGTCAAACTCTCATTTTAACCACCACATACACAAATGGAGGTATACTTGCTAAAACTTCATTTTAATTTTACTCATATAACATAAATACAACATAAAACCAACTTTGTGTGCTGATTGGGCCCTACCAACATACAAAGAAAAATAAACAATCATGCTTTGAATCTCTTTTCTTTTAACTTTAAGGTTTTTTCAAGGTTTGGGTTTTGATTCCTAATTTATTTACAAGTTTAAAAGCTTTTACCTAATCAACTCATTTAAACCCTTTTTGTTTTGAAACACATACAGAACAGGATAGAGTTGTTGTTAACTGTGGGTCATGATTTTATTTGGCCAACTGACTATTTGTTTAGTCAAAAGCGTACAAACATATTTTAGACTCAAATATCCTATAAAAATTTCTCAATAAGTGATGTTTTGGGGAAAGCAAAAGGTAATGCCCTTGCGACTGTCTTGTTATTAGAACTCATTTTCCGCGTCTGCGATGGAGCAAGGTGGTACTTTGACATTATTACCTTTTACGTAAAATAAAGGGCCCCCCACATCTCTCGGTGTTGAAGACTCTTGAAATGACAGACCCGTCCAGGAAGGAAAATGATTGTTTTTCTCGTTCTCCATTCTCAAAAGTCTCGATAGATGGGAAGAAATCCAAGAAATGGCGCATACTCAACTGGAATACTTTTTGCAACCCCTACTGTTGAGTAGATAAAAGAAACACTAAGAGGTTCCCAACCACTTTGCAAATCTCAATGTATTTTCCATTTTTTTAGGGCAAATTTCACCCAAAGGATAAAGTTCATCCCCCGGTACCAACACTTCCCATTCATTCTTACCCAACTTCAGCATTACCCTCATGGTGTTCTTTCTTTTTTTGTTGGGTTTTTTCAGGGCCCCCGACGCAACGCTGTATCGAGCCCGGGTTTCTCAAAGGGACGGAAAAAAAATTTGCCCAAGGCTGAGCGATGAAGAAAAGGAAAAAAATTCCCCTTTAAACAGTGTAGAAAACTTTTACGTTCCAATTTGATTTCCGGGGACACCCTTCCAAGCCCCAGCAAGAGGGGTGCCCAAAACTCCCACCTGATACAGTAACTGGTTCCCACCAAAGACCGTTAAAGAATTTCCTGCAGAGGGGGAAAAATGGAGCGGGCTAAAGTAAGCCGATGAACAGGTGCCCTCCTGTAGAGTCCGGGGGGCTAAATAGATGAGGACAAGCATCCCATGAGAACGGGGGGAAAATTTTTCACTGATACTCAGGTGATAGAGAGATGTCCAACCCGACAAAGGCTGGCGCAGAAATCTAAACCCCCATGGTGCCTAGAGAACATAATTTAATTTGTGATATCTCAGGAGCAAATGTGACATGCCATCATTCCAGGGTTTATGGGTTCCATATCTTTATTGCTAGTGCACTCACCTCATTACGAGGTCTGGAGGTCGTGTCAGAACAAAAATTGGCTATAAAATCACAAGAACTACTATAAATTGTAATTATAAGAACATGAAATTTACATAAATTAAAAAAAAAGAGGAAAAAAGGTATATCGGCAACATTTCTGCAAGTGGCTGTACTCCACATTGCCATCAGGTGAGCATCCACTGCCAACTTCACTGCCTTATATCTTGGTAAGTCTTTCTTTCAACACACCAGCCTATCCCACTGAGGCGGGGTAGCCCAAAAAGAAAAACAAAAGTTTCTCCTTTTAAATCTAGTAATACACCTACCATCCAACTTACGACCTGCTCGGCATACGTCCACTCGACTTATGACCATGCATCTGGCAGCTGGGCTGGGCCGGCTGATGCACACCACTGTACAGTATTTGACAATACTCGTGGCGGCAGTGCGTCATGCAGGCAGCATCAGTTTGAGTAACCTTGCCCTATCAGCAGCATCATACGTATTAACTGTACTAACTGGAAAGTAAATTTCACCATGGCTGCTAAGACGAAGTCTGAATCTTGCACTGAAGATTGTGGCAAGAAAGGCTCTTACTCTCAAACTTACTATTTGTTTTCACTGTTTCACATAAACCTGTCTGTATCTGTCTGCCTGTATATCTGTGTCTGTCTGTATCTCTGTGTGTTTGTTTGTCTGTCTACCAGTGTCTCTGTCTTTCTGTCTACCTGTGTGTCTGTCTTTCTGTCTACCTGTGTGTCTGTCTTTCTGTCTACCTGTGTATCTGTCTACCAGTGTGTCTCTCTGTCTACCTGTGTCTGTCTTTATGAACTCACCTATTTGTGGTTGCAGGGGTTGAGTCATAGCTCATGGCCCCGCCTCTTCCGCTGATTGCTACTAGGTCCTCTCTCTCCCTGCCCCATGAGCTTTATCATACCTCACCTGAAAACTATGTATGGTTCAAGCCTCCACTACATCACTTTCTAGGCTATTCCATGGCCTGACTACTCTATGACTGAAGAAATACTTCCTAACATCCCTTTGATTCATCTGAGTCTTCAACTTCCAATTGTGACCTTGTGTCTGTGTCCCTTCTCTGGAACATCCCGTCTTTGTCCACCTTGTCTATTCCGCACAGTATTTTATATGTCATTATCATGTCTCCCTTGACCCTCCTGTCCTCTGGTGTCGTCAGGCCTATTTCCCTCAACTTTTCTTCATAGGACAATCCCCTTTGCACTTTTCTCTTTTTTTTGATGTGCTTGACTAGGTGTGGATTCCAAACTGATGCTGCATACTCCAGTATAGGCCTGGAGGTTACCTGGAGGTTATTCCAAGGATCAACGCCCCCGCGGCCCGGTCCATGACCAGGCCTCCTGATGGATCAGGGCCTGATCAACTAGCTGTTACTGTGGAGAAATTTTCTCCAGGTGGGGGGTATCAGCCCCCTTCAGCCTTTCAGCCCCTTCACCCCTTTCAGCCCTGAGTGGCCAAGCCCTCAGAAGGGGTGAGCATCTTGTTTACCGCTAGAGTGAGTAATTGATCACAGATGCTATGCCACGTAGTCAAGTGACCTCTGCTCCTTGCAGCGGTGTTTGCAAAGTGTATTTTTATAAGAGACAGTACATCTCTTACTTAGCAGGACAATTAAGGAAAATCCTGCTCCCACTTTATTACCATAGTAAAAATAGTGTACATTGTTGTCTACGCTTAAGACAGCAAGAAACAAAACATTCTGCTTTGCTTCATCGAGGAGGTGACAAGGATGCAAGGTACTAGGTCAGCGTTTTTTTTTTTTGTGCTAGGGCAGTGACGGCTTGGGGCTGTGTGGCGACGCCAGACTATCTTTGACTCTAGGGAGATGACACTGACGCCAGGATACTGATCTGTGCATTAGTGTGAACAAAGTGTCTCTAACACAAATACTTAAGAGAAGTGTGATCAGCTTCTCTTGTGATACATTGTGAACAATAAAGACAAATCTTGTGGAACATAGTGTACCAGTGTGCGTTTCCTAGACAATGGAAGACGTGGACAATCCAAGGACACTTCAGCTTCTATCAAGTCACGATACCTGTCGAAGGTGTTGAGAACACCATAGCTCACTTACAAAGAGCAAGGTATGTTACGAATTTCTTGTAGATCGGGGGATTGCGCAATTCTTGAGTCACAAGGAGTTTGTAATCAACCTATAATCGGCAGTAAGTGTGGACTTTTGAGTCCAACAAGTAGGTATTTCGTCAGCCATCATCGAATGAAGTATGCTGACATAACACCCCCTAGGGGTAATTTATACTTACAAATTGTATCTCTTGACAGCCCAATGTTGTGATGGTTTTCGACAGCTTCTAGACCTCGTCTGCAGGGGCGGCTGTGTAGACGATTTTGCTGTCATTTATCAGCTAAGTGTTCATTATATATAGTTATAATAAACACAGCAGGTAAGGCCAAAACCCTCAATAGAGTTTGGTCGTGCTCGAACCGGATAAAGAGACCACACTGTGGTCCAAATATGTTGTACTACAGTGTACAAATAACCTATGAGCCAAGGTCCTTCGAAAAAAGCTGTAAAACTAGTGTTTTACAATATAAATCAGTATAAATGAGTCCCTCCAGACTCAATCACAGAGAATGGTCACCCAAAGAAAACGGGAGCTGGGTGACTCACCCACATCCTGCACCCACTGCTCCAATCTCGAGAAAATGCTGATTAAGACAACAGCAACCCAAGTGATGTTGTTTGTCTGAGTGTATATATATACACAGTGTTTATAATGTTTATAGACAGAAATTAAGAGACAAGATTGTGTTAAAGTTTGTTTCTTATAGATCTACCTGTTATATTAAAGGAACTTATATATAAAGTGTAAGCTTTCAAATATATATTAACAGTGAAATTTATATATGTGTAAGTAATATTCACGTGTGATTACAGTTATACAGTGACATTTATAGTGTATAGTGAATGAAGTGTATAACATCGTTATTTACGATTAATCATCATGGTCAGGCTGACACAGCAAACAAGCCATAAACACCAGACACATGTACCCTGTACCCTCATGGTCATTGACCCTGAGGTTAAGCTTAGTGGGTCAGTAGTGTCTGACTCGATTATTGCTGACTTAAGCATAACAAAAACTCAGCTGTCTATAGCAGTACAGTGTTTTATAAACACTCTAAGTGTGGTGCTAGAATTTTCAGTATACCATTAAAATGGCTTGTTTGAAAACTCAGTTTCAGTCTTTACAGACTAAGATTACACAATTAGAAAATCTAATTTCAGTCTGTCTAGGATTAACTCAAGATACAAACATAGATTTTGATGATCTTGAGGTCAAGTTTGAATTATTTACACAACGTCTGGAAATAATTAATTCAGACTATACACATTATGAAAATAAATTCTTGAATCAGATCCATCTGAGGATGAAATTAAAATGTTTTGGATACTTTTAGTGATCAACAATTAAGGTGGACAGGAGTACAGGCTATCTGCCGTAAAACTCTGTCACAGAGACCTACTATAACTAGTGGGCAACCACCTGTTACACCTGTAACAACAACAAGTGTCCCATTACCAAGCTTACCTACATTGTCATTACCTATTTTCCAAGGTCATAATTATGAAGAATTCATTAGTGGTTTTCAATCCATAGTAAATTCACGAACTGACATAGATGAGATTGCCAAGTTCAATTACCTTAAATGTCTTGTGAAGGGAGAACCCTATGAACTAATTAAGTCATTTCCGGTGGTTAAAGGTAATTATCAAATAGCCGTACGTGTCTTAGCAGACAATTACTTTGATGATGACAAGGCTAGAGTTAGACATGTAGTCTTAATATCAAGCTTGAAGCCACCCAAACATTGTTTTTCAGACTTACAGGCATTTAGAATTACATTAGACAATAGTCTCAGGTCTCTAGATGCTAAATATGACCTAAGACAATGTGATTGGTTTATCAGTGGTATTGTACAAGATAAGTTGTCACCACAAACTATTGAACGATTAAATATTATGTTCAATAAACGCTATTTCACTTGTGAAGAAATTAGCAATGGTTTACAAACAATAGTTTCATGCATGCAAAGCAACGAGACAAGATGAAAAATCCACAAATCCAGTGGATAAAAAACCTTCAACTCAGTATAAAAGAGTATACCTACTCCCACTAAACCACATAATGGGAAATCCCATATAGGCATTTATCAAGTTGTGAATACAACAGACAGTAAACAAAATGTCATACATAAACGTACTCCAAAATGTGTACTTTGTGATGGAACACATTGGGCACAGTATTGTAGTCAATACACATCAATGGAGGCACGTTAAACAACGTGTTCATCAGCTGAAAAGATGCATCAAGTGTTTAGGTGAACACAAGGGAGGAAAATGCTCACTGAAGAAGTGTTTTAAATGCAAGGGTATGCATCATACAGCATTATGCCCAAATACTTTTGCTGAACAGCAGCAGACGTCCACAGAATCAGGAGTCAACAAGCAACAGCATTAAATGTGAGAGATAAGTTTAAAGCAACTGCTCTCCCGATAGCTCGAGTTGAGTTATCTAATAAATTACACAAAACCAATATGCTAACACTATTTGATCAAGGCTCACAAAGGTCCTTCATAAGAAGATCAGTGTTGCAGAAACTGAATAAACAACCCTATGCCAAAATACAGTTAGATATAGCTGGTTTTTTTTCCATAATTCTGGTAAACAGACATATGACCTAGCCAAAATCACTGTTGGTCTAGGAAACAGGAAAAAGACAGTAGAAGCTGTGGTAGTAGATGATTTGCCTAAGTCTGTGCAGATCCAGGGATTAAAAGAAACAGTTGCAGCACTGAAAGCACTAAGGTCAAGTTAGCCTGTCCTGACATACAGACGGACACAATTAGTCACAATTTGATTTAATCATTGGAAGTGATTATTATCACTGTTTGTGCAAAATATAGTAAGTAAACATGATGTTCAGTTGCTGAAAACAGCAGGAGGCCACATGATATGTGGTC